GTTGTGGCTCCCAAGGTGGTTTGATTTTTGTTGAAAGGACAAAATGGCTCTTCTTATCATTTGGGTTGTGACTCCTGATCTGACCTGGCTTTTAATGCAGAGGGAGCTGGTCAGATTTCTCGCTCATCCAGTAGTGTTTTTTATTATGTGCCGCCACAGACTGTCCGGGCGCTGCACTTCCGCACTTCCAAGTTCTGCCTTTTGCGTTCTGTCAACATTACATTATAAATTAAATATTTAGAAAATCGATTTTTGACATTTGTGAATCGATTCAGAATCGTTCACGTCCGCATCGCGATGCATCTAAGAATCGATTTTTTCCCACACCCCTAGTAAAAACCCATATTGCAATAAAGATTAACAAATGCTATACTGTGCAGCACTTGTAGCGGTTCTAGTGCTCCGCCAGAACCAGCTAGGTTGTTTCTTACATAACAATATATACTGGTCAATATTAAAGCTAGCAGTATACTTTAAACGAAAATGACGTTTAGAAGCAAAACTGTGTCTTTCTGCCCAAATAACACAATGGTTTGAATTTGTTAGGTGCAGTGTGCACTGCTTACCAAACTCTTAATTACTGTGTCTTTTGTTCTGAGACCTCCCACTTACTGCAACTGCTGCTTACTGCTTATCACCACGTCATTTATTCTCAGATCTCCCTGACTATGACTGGTCCATTGCAAAAAAGCGGGCTTCAAGCGCTGCTGAGACATTTACAGAGTTCTTTTTAAGTATACATATGTCACCATGTTCAGCAGTAGTTCCTTCAAGTTAAGTACAAAATCACAACCATATGGCATGGTCATCTTGGTGGTCATCTGGATCATGACTTTTTTTTCAGCTTGCACATCCCTAGTATGTTAGGTATCTTCTTTCACATATTGTTTGTAATATATTTATTGTTTTATTTTATTTATTTATTTATTGGTAGCTGTTTAAATGCATAAAATCTGAAAAGCCTACAGTTACTTGCATGTCTGTTAATAATGCTTCAAAGTATTTAATGCATATTTTTCAGCTACCAGCAATTTATTTGTTCTAATTTTTGGAGATTTACACGTCAGTTAAATATGAGTAAGCGAATGAATAACAAGAAAGGTTAATGAGGTGGTTAGTTGGATGGAAGTTTTATCTTGCTTACAGGAATTGAAGGATGCCCATATTTCTGAAAAGCACTGCATTAATATACTGCAAATTTGAACATGCCTAGAACATCTTTGGAAAATTAAACTACTTGTCTTGTGCATCATGAACGGCAACTTGAATATAAGAACTCAATATGGATAGAAATTTGGCACAAAGCAGTACTTTAAACCAGCATCGCTCAGAAAGCTAACAGAGATTAGACTGTCGTATCAGCCAGCACTTTCAGTAACTCTGCTCGTTAAATCCAAACCTCTCCATTTGCAAACTGACAGCGTCGTCTGATTTTGTGCAACATAATCTCTTCAGTAAATGAGCTGAGAGGTGCTAGAGTGTGTGCTGCTGCTGTAAAACTGATTTACCTCCACAGAGCTGAGCCTCAAAGCCACATCTGTTCTTACAAAACTTATAAATAACAGAATGCTTTGGTAGCCAAGAGAGCTGCCAAACACACACACACACACACGCACAGGCACCACAGAGAGCTGCATATGTGGGGTTTGTTAATCGCAAGGATGCTACACACTTATAACCCTCACTCAGCAGTTTTGCTGTGTGCAGGAGGCAGCCAGAATGACATCCTGGGGAGCAGCACGACACCTCGATTTCATTTAGACTTCTGTTTTAATATCCCAGCCAGCACTTAGCATAATCCTTTACAGTTTCCCCAGCAATTTGCAGCATGATTAAACAATGCTTCACCGAGTGGAATGAAAAATGGTAGCATTATTCAGAACACATCTGAAGCATACAAATCCACAAGCACACTATCCAGAAAAGGCCTAGATAGTCTAAGCACATTAAACAGCACATTAAACACATTGAACATGCACAGGAGGCAGTAATAAACTGTAATACAATAAATATATTGGATAAATACTTATACAGTAACGTACTGTAATGTCCTACAGTATTGTTTTGCTACTACGCCAATAAAAAGGCTGGAGCAGTCGCCTTCCTGGAGGTTGCCTCTGCGGGTCCATAAACAAACCGACTTTATAGGCACACGATTCTTAAAGGAATACTCCTTTTCAGCCTAATCTCTATTTCCCGCATGCATATTAGGGGTGTGGGAAAAAATCGATTCTTAGATGCATCGTGATGCGGACGTGAACGATTCTGAATCGATTCACAAATGTCAAAAATCAATTTTCTAAATATTTAATTTATAACGTAATGTTGACGGAACGCAAAAGGCGGAAACTTGGAGGTGCGGAAGTGCAGCGCCCGGACAGTCTGTGGCGGCACATAATAAAAAACACTACTGGATGAGCGAGAAATCCGACCAGCTCCCTCTGCATTAAAAGCCAGGTCAGATCAGGAGTCACAACCCAAATGATAAGAAGAGCCATTTTGTCCTTTCAACAAAAATCAAACCACCTTGGGAGCCACAACATTTAATGTCCAGTATGTCTCAGTATGTGATAATGTCCTAGTACAGGCTAAACAATACAAACGAAAACGCAGATTTACTTTGCTGTGCTTTAAGCTTTAGCTATAGCCACTTTCCTTCCATCTCCGCCAGCAAACTTTTCCTCAGAAGTAGATCAGTTAAATGTCTCTCAACGTTCAACTGTTTTACGAGGCTGAAGTCGTTTCTTATTCTCCAGCGTCTTGTTCGAATTTACCCGTTCCACCTTAAATTCTAACTGAGGCGCCAAATGTAAATGCGGCACAATTTAAGGTGAAACACGAGAATTCGAAAGAGAAGCTGACTTCAGCTTTGCCACTTTTTAGTGTTTGACAGTCTCTCGTTGCAGATTTAACGTACCAGGAAACCAACTGCAGTGCGAATAGCGCATTGCTGCTTTGTGACCTGCAGTCTGCACGCCGGTTCTCAGTCGTTGCGAAACAGGGCTTCCATTTGTTTTATTAATAAAAGATATGGGAAGTAAATTCATTATGGATCATTACAAATACTTTGCTTTAAAAGTACCAAGTCACTTTAAATAACAATAACACTGAGTCACTTAGTCACTTTAAAATGTATATTGTCTCTACATTCTGTATATATTTTGTGTATATTTAATATATTTCAGTTGTTTTTTCTTGTATTTTTATTTTTACTTATTTACTTTCTGTAGAGTGATTACCTGTGCCTCACCACAAGCATTTCAATGCATAAATGTCCTGACACGTTGTGCAAGTGACAAATAAAACTTGAAACTTTAACTCGAAACTTGAGCTCACACAGTGAGAAAATATAAATGCTATATAGAAAAAAAGATGCATTGAGATGCACCGATAATCGTTTATAAACGCATCGCAGCCCTCTAAATCGTAATCGAATCATGAGGTGCCTAGAGATTCCCACCCCTAGTTTTTACAATACTGATAATGTGGAGAGCTGTGGTAGGCAAATGAGCCCTCTTACCAAACACAGGGCTGCAAATATTGCATATTTAATTTTCAAATATTCTATTACATATTATTTCTAATATTTGGATATTCTGTAAGAATAAGAAAAAAACTCATGATAAATCTCACTTGACTAAATTACAGTGATTTCATTATTATTATTATTATTTATTTATTTATTTATTTATTTATTTTTTTAATGATTGCTGGAATTTATTTTTTCCCTTTTATATTAATGCTTTTTAATGAAAAAAGGAAATGGAAAAGCATCACTGATAAACAATCATAGCCTGTAGGACCTAGCAGCCCTAACCAGGCTGCTGAGACTGTTTGAACATGTCAGTGAATTGCAGTGTAGAACAGCAGAGGAAACAGCATTTTTATAACCACTTTAACTTAAAAATTGAAAACGATTTTGGTCACTTCTGAGCAAAGGAGTGACCATGTTTTAGATTCTGTATACTTTTCTTCAAGTTTAAAACTGCTAAAAAAGCACTTTATACCTGAGTATGAGTCTCGATAGCTCGACCTCTGACTACTGCCGAGATGTCACTGCGGATGTAACAAGAGAGCACCATTTGACTGATACATTAAAAAGGCTAATCATAAATTGTTGTTGTGCTGGCAGATTATCATGCTGGCAGATTATCTTGCTGTCTTTGGATGCGCTGCTGGAAAAACTGATGGACTGAAGCTCATGTTTCCATAAAAATGGGCAAAAATGTCCATTATTAGAATGGCTATTTTGTTCCAAATATAAGCAACCCTAATATTGACCAATAACAGTTCCAGAAGAGTGTTTCTGACGGATGTTTTGATGAATCAGGGTGTTGATGTAATCTAACAAAAGTAAAGTACTTTTGTCAGTCACATTATTGATTAATTGATGAATTTTTAGATGTGATGCACCTCATGAACCTGACTTGTAACTTTACCAGGGTGCACTATTAGCACTCCAGAGGGTTTTGGTTCTTCATAAGAGTGATGCTTCACATCATTTAAACTGTGTGTTCTTGTTAATATTTTAAAAGACATGTCACTATCCCAATATGTTAGCAATATTATGTTTTATCGTAGTAATTTAAAACATTATAGCATCGCTAATGTTCCATGTTATTCAGCCCTAGCTCATACATAAATATTGTTCTTTTGCATCTGCAATACTTTATGTCCTTAGATGATGATGTATTAAAGTATCTGAGACTTTTTTCCATTCAGAATGTCACCAGGCTAACCAAAAAGGGGGCAATAATTCCAGATGGAACTGTTTTTTAATGTAGTAATATGCACTAGGCACACATTACAGAGCCTTTTAACTATTGTATTAGGTTTGTTTACTTCTTTGAGCCCATAACCTTTCATTTCTTTTCGGCTTGTATGCACACTTGATAGTTGTCAGCCTATTCTTTCAACATATGCAATGTTGAGTTTAATAACTTATAATTTATAGAGCAGAATCACAACTGATGTTTTTCTGATTTTTTGTTGTGTTTCAGCTTCGGTGAATGTGTTGGTGACAAACTGTAAGATCTACAATGATGCAAGCTGTGACATCTCAGCAGATGGACAGCTCCTGGCTGTATTTATACCCAGCAGTCAACGAGGCTTTCCTGATGAAGGCATCCTCGCCATTTACTCCCTTGCCCCTCACAACCTTGGAGAAATGCTCTACACCAAGAGATTCGGTGAGTTACTCCTGTGTGAAATATTAAACTAAGTTTGGTATGTCTCAGCTAATGAAGCAGATTTTCATTCCAGCAGAACGCAGAGAACATCCTGATCTGGTTTGTCAGGAACTAAGGGAGGACTACTTCATGAAGGTTTAAAATTCCTTAAACATAACTGACTCCAGTAATCCAACATTTCTCATAAAGCCTAAGGCTTTGCGTCATGGATATCATTGTTGTTCTTGCTGCAACGTCAGTTCTGACTTGGGAACTGCATGCGCACATTTTAATGAGAATAATTTTGGAGACATCACAAATAAACTATATACCCTACAGCAGGTTCTTCAGAAATGTTTTTTTTGGCTTTCTGGGTATGAGAAAACTCTTAAGAAACTAACACTATAAGGAGTCCATATTGTTTAGCTGGAATTCCATACACAGTTTTAGTTGGATGTCCGTTTTAGTTTTTGAGTTTGGTTCTGGTACTGGTGTTAGCAAGAGTGTTGTTTTATTGTAAAAGAAATAATAGTGAAATAGTTTTGTATTCTCCTCTGATTAAACTGTTGAGACACATGTAATTGAGTGCTAGCATGGTTTTACTGCAATTTATTAAGGATATTATAAATTATAAATTGTTATGGAAGGCTTTTTTCCAATTTCTAATAATGTTAATTTATTACTCTTTTATTTAAGTGATGAAATGTGTAGGATGTTGTTGACAACTCACTGATTTATTTATTTAAGTGTTCTTAAGACAGCTCGATTTCCAGAAAGGTCTTTTTGTCATCATTAGAGGAAGTGTCACAGTACTTTTATTAGGGTAGTGTTGATAAACATGCCTGTATAGCTTGAGTTTATTTCTAGGTAACAGTGCAGGACATGTAACAGCGCTTGTGAGTGTTTACATTTTCACCAGCTTTTAATTTATGTCATGTTATTAAATTATGGCCGTGTTGACTGTGTTGCCTCCATGTCTGCTTTAGCTGGGTAAACAGACTTCGTTGACAAATTAGTACAAGCAGCATACAGTTAGGTGAAACCTGCATTTTCCTTGTTTAAATGCACTTCTTGTCATTTAAAAACCAATTCTAGGTTGAGACCAGACCATTTTTGAAAAAAAGATAGACATGTTGGCATTTGGGACTGTAGTGCAGCACATTGTAAAACGGGCTAATATTAATAGAAAATTAAAATACTTTTGCGGGCTGGATAGGATTGTATGGCGGGCCTGACCTGGCCTGCAGGCCTTGTGTTTGACACATGGGCTTTAGAGGGTGGTTTTATCAATTGTGAATCACCATGTGCTCGGTACTCGGTATTGAAAAACATCAATTACAGTTTACCTCCTTGGTGATTCGGTAATGATTGTTCATCAGTGATGATGATGAATTTTTGGTCTCGCTTACAGTAAGAAACAGAGCCTTATAGACACCAATTTTTTTGTCCCTTTTCATGTTCGATGAAGTCCTTTTTTATTGCTAGGCAGCATTAGACAGTAAACAAAATGTGTTTTTTTCTTGCCTGTTCACATATGTTTTTTTTTTAGTTTTTTTTTTTCCTTGAGGTCCACAAAAAAATAGTCATAAAATGTTTTTACATGATCATTTTCCAATCTCTCTTCATCACTTAGAATTAATCAGGCTGTTTTGTTGTTGTCTCTTTAAGGCAAATCTTATATAATCTTATATAAATGATCTCTGTTCTTATTGTTTTGTCCTGTATTGTTTCTCATTCAAAAAGCACTCAGAGCTGAAACGCTCCATAGATCTTCAATACGAATGAGCAGGGCTAAACTGCTGATGGCTGAATAGGTGAATGTATGTTACATGAGTTGGTTCTTGTGACATCACAGAAACAATGAATTTAAAATTGGCTGTTTTTGCCGAATGGTTTTCAAATATTGGACTGTATGGACTGAGTAACGAATTGTGTGTTTTGAAATTCTGACAATGTTTACATGTTGCTTTAAGCTATTGCAAAAACGTGAGTGAAATTTTCTTTTTTTTCCACGATATGGGCCCTTTAAGTCTTTAATGAAGGAGGTTGTTAGTGGCTTGGTGCTAACATTACATTGAAACTGTTAAAAATGAGCATAATTTCACTGGTAGCAAATGAGTAAACAAAATCTACTTTCAAAGTGTATTACAGGGTTGCTACATTAGAAATATCTGTGTAATGATATACTTGGTGACTGATGCTCATGATGTAAATGTGTTTGGCCTTGAACATAAACAAACTTAAAGATTGTTTGCGTTCTCCACCATGATACAATGTCCACACTCCTTACACTGCCTTACATTACATAGAAAATCAACAATATGACCTTTTCTTCACACAGCAATAAATGACAGGGTGAAAGATGTTGTACAAAGATTGAATTAATGGTGTTATTTGTTTTATACTCTTCACAGTTGTGTTTCAAAAAGCACAGGGAACATTTTTCATTGAAACTGGAAGGCGTAAGTTCATGAACGTACTATCCCAGGTGGTTGCAAAGGTGTTGCAAGGCTATTACCATGATATCTCAGGTGGTTGCTAAGGTGTTGCTAGGCTATTGCTGTGGAATACCAGATGGTTACTAAGGTGTTGCTAACCAGCTGCTGTGGTATCCCAGGTGGTAGCTATGGTGTTGATAGGTTGTTGCTGTGTTGTCCAATGTGTTGATAGGCCGTTGCTATGGTATCCCAGGTGATGAGCAAAGTGTTGCTAGGCCTTTGCTATCGTATCCCAAGTGGTTGCTAATATGTGCATGTATATATGTGCTAATATGTATGTGAGTCTGTATGTAATTTCTGCGAGGGGTTGTGTGAGAGATGTCCTAAGTTGACATTGTCAAGCCAACCCTAACAAGTAAAATATATTTTTTCATTATTATTATTATTATTAAGTGTTGTCAAGTCATTTCTGATTCCTGGCAACCATATGGATAGTGTTTCTCCAGAACACTCTGTCTTCTGTTTGGTTCTGAATGGCTGGTTCTTTTTTAAAAAATATATCCAAAATAAGCTTCAGTTTGGTTATGTGGGCTTCGAGTTAGAGGCTTGATTTGTTGGAGGATCCATTTGTTTGTTTTCTTTGCCATCAAAGGTACTCTCAAAAGTCTTTGCCAACGCTGAAGTTCAAAAGCATCAATAGATCTCCTTTAAAACTGATTACTTGATTAATTAGAAAATAAATAAATTAAGGGATTACTTGATTACTTGAAAATGGTCAATGGATTGCTTGATTACATCCTACTAGAATGTACACACCCTCCTAGAGACACACTGTGCATACACATCTTCATTTGCCTTCATCATCATTAACACTTGTTAGCTCCCCTACTCCTGTGCACATGCCAAGCTCAGGCCCTGAGGGAGAGAGGCCGATGTCTGTGAAACTGAAATTGGTTTTCACATGAAACGCTTTAGTCGTAATTAGTGCCTCAGCCACTTCAGGTGCGAACTCTGCCAATTTCACACCTCTGTAGGTTTGCATATCTAAGACCCCTGGTCATAGTAATTATGAAATTTCAAAAGTGGCCATTTAGCACTAGGCACTGTCAAAACAATTATCCTGGAATTTTTTCAACAGAAAATTTTTTCCTTATATTCAGTATTTTTTTTTTATACTATTTCAAGTTACTACATTGCTTTAGTTCATAATTGTATGTGCATGAAAATGTCCTAATATAACTTGTCAAGAATTAAGCAAGCTAAAGATTTTTGGCTAGTCTTCTGGCCAATACTCTCAATAAACTGAAGAACATTCAGAATTCAGCTAATTTGCACATTTCACTTCAGTTGTCTACCAGTTACACTTCCATAATGTCTTGCATTGAATTCAAACTCCTCATAATTACTTAAAAAGATCGTTGGGATGTGTCTACTTTGTGCTAGATTATTCAGTGCCATAGCCTCCAAGCTTTGGAATGTCTTTCTTCCACACCTTCACTTCTACCCTTTCTTCTTTTAAAACCAAACTTAAGATTCAGTTCTATTGTTCTATCATGGCCAAACTCAGCAGCCCCTCTTACCCACTCCACAAACATATGCATTCTTATATACACTAATAATCCAAAACATTACCACCTTTCTAATATGCTGTTGGTCCTCCGTGTGCCACCATAACAGCTCTGACCTGCCGAAGTGTGGACTCTACAAGACCTCTGAAAGTGCCTTGTGGTAATTGGCACCAAGATGTTAGCAGTAGATCCTTTAAGTCCTGTAACTTGCAAGATGGAGCTACTGCAGTTTAACACATAGTTTCTGATCAGACATGATAGTCTTTGTTGCCCTCACACATCCATGAGCCTCGGGTGCCCAACTCACTGTCCTCGGTTCGTGGTTTGTCCCGCTTCAGACCACTGTTGGTCTTGCTGTTTCGGAGATGCTCTAAGCTAGTCATCTGATCATAGTGATTTGGCTCTTATTTGAGTCACCCAGATCTTTACCTTGCACATATCTCCTGCATCCAGCACATTGACTGCAACAATCAGCTGTTCACTTACCATCTATTATATGCCAGACCTTGACATGCGCCGTTGTTACAAGATAATATTATTCACTTCATCTATGAGTGATCAGTGTTTTGGTTCATCTTATCTTACCTGCCTTGTTATTGACTTGTTCTGTGGTAACTTTTTGCTCACATTTCATGTTTTGTACAGTATTCTTCTGAGAAAAGCACTATATAAATAAAAAAAAAAATCTTGTCATTGTGTTACATTTTTTTTCCATTTGCAGGTCCAAATGCTATCTCAGTGAGCCTGTCTCCAGTGGGCCGCTATGTGATGGTGGGCTTGGCATCTCGTCGTATACTGTTGCATCATGTCACTGATCACATGGTGGCGCAAGTCTTCCGGCTGCAGCAGCCTCATGGTGGGGAGACCTCCATGAGGGTAAGTTACTGTTGCCACTACAGACTACAGCATTAATAACAAGAATTAACCCATAGAAGTAAGGGTAATAAAAGCATGTTTTAATGTTATACTACAGAACACAATTTAGCGTTAACGTTCTCCTCCAGGCGTGTTTAGTGTTTCAGTGATATTGCATTAGCATAGTCCTCTGTTGTGTCTGACCTAATGGCTAACTTACCGTTTGTTTTAAGTGCTAAAGCTTCAGCCTTGAGGCTCTGGAGGACACATAGCAAGTCCATTTAAGATGTGGGATATATAGAGAACAAGTGAAAGCATTATAATGAATCATAATGAAACATGACAGTCAAAATGGCAAATTTAAAACACTGTAGTCGTCACATCTAGGGGTGGGATTCTTCAGGCACAATTTGATGATTTCGATTCAGGTTCTGAAAATGCAATTAAAATAATAATAAAATGAACCTCGATGCAATTTATGGTTCAGTAATTCAGTAATTATCTAAACTTAAGGCTGAACACTGGCTATTACTGGATATTACTGGTTAGCAATCTCCTGTGTTGATTGTTAAACAGAGCCAGTTTCCTACGTATGGTTGTTTCCTATGGTTTTAGGCATTTTATTTCATATACACAAAATTTGTGACCAGTTTATGACACAAGAATGCGAGCATTACTGAGCTCCTTTCCTTTTCCATGCCAGACTGTATCAAAGTATCCTACTTTACAGAGTCTCTGGCTGCATGTGTGATTTCAGTAGGGAAAATGGAGAGTTGATGTTTTGTAAATTGATTCAAGAGAGAATCACAGTGCATCTAAGAATCAATCATTTTTCCCAACCCTAGTCACATCCATAATACTTTTGAAAAGGAAAATGAAGAAGTTGAAATTGACTGACTTGTATATAGAAAATGTCTCTGCTTCTCCATGAGATGACAGGTGATGTCACTTAAAAATTGAGACTAACATCCTAACAACGTCAATGTAAGTGATAACAAGGTTCCTAAATGATTCTTGGCTTGGACATACTATTATAGTAAAAACACTTCAATTCTTTTAACTTTAAAAAGGTTCTGCACACTCACACACTTTTCTCTAGAGTACCAAAAGTGGTTCTGGATAGCATTGCTTTGTAAGAGGGCAGCTACATCACAGACTGAGTCATGCAGCTACCACTCATCTCCAGGTGTGCTGATCAGCTTGTTCTATAGCCGGTAGATGAAAAGATTTGGTGACAGCCCTGCGTTGGAGGAAGATGTGTGTGAGCTTTTGTGGAACTGTCATAGCACACTGTCATACTGTCTAAAGCATTGTCAATTGGCTTAGGCTGAAACAGGAAGAAAACTGGCAGAAAAGAAGAGAAAAAGTGTTAAAAACAGAACAAAGGGAAATGTTACACCTGTTTTTGTTAAAATATGCTTTTTCCTATCATTCTCACCTTATTAGGAACACATGGAATGTAGTATGCTTTAGTTGGAATATTGCGCCATAGTTGGTCTCTAGAAGCATAGCTAATATCTTTAGAAGCTTAGCTAATGTCTCACCCTTTACACTGTATCCTCTTCAAACCTGTTTCAGTTTCCATTATCTTAAAAGAACTGCTCTTTTGAGTCAGTCTTGTTATCTTTACCTCTTGGAGCAGAATGAGGTATAAGTCTTTAGATGTGCTTCATTGGCTGGTGGATGGATGTGGATGGGTGGATGTGTGTAGATTGCATTGGATGCCCTCCTAAGGCTATATGTGTGTTGGATGCTTGCCTATATGTATGAGAGTGTTCCTGCAGATACTTTCAATTTATACTACACTGTAAAAAAGTCAGAGAGCACCCTTCATTTATTTAGTCTCCAGTGAAAACAGTAAATAGGTATAATAATAAAAATGAATAACAATAAAAAAAAGTATAATTTAAAAATTTTCAGGTGATATTTCAGGAGTTGGGGAGAGGCTAAACTATGCTTTATTTATTTTAGTAAATAAATTAGATTATTTTAAATGCATGGCATCAAACAATACCATACCATGCTATGATTTTTACAAAAAATGTCACATACACCAGGCCAAAAAAATAAAAAAAGGAATGCAACTCCTTTAAACGTGTGCATCCCAGTTGGCAACAGTAGAATTTTTTAAAAGAAATTCAGTGTGTTGAACTGGCGAATTTTGTGTGCTGCCATGTTTCTATCACTGTAAAAAATTGACAAGGCTTCTTTTATTGTTGGATGCACTTTTTTTTTTTATCTCATTCAAAACACAGTTCAGATCACACACGCGCGTTATCTAAGCCGATTATCCTTCTGGGTCGCAGGGGGTGCTGGAGCCTGTCCAAGCGGTCATTAGGCGGAAGGCAGGAAACATCCTGGACAGGTTGCCAGTCCACTGGGGGGCAGATATGCAGACATATACAATCACACACACATTCACACCTGGGGGCAAATCAGCGTGTCCGGTCATCTTGACGGCATATCTTTGGACTACAGGAGGAAACACACACAAACACGGGGAGAACATACAACCTCCACACAGAAAGGACCCTGGTCGCCTGGCCGGGAATTGAACCCAGGCCTTTCTTGCTGTGTGGCAACAGTGCTAACCACTGCACCAGTTCAGAGCAGTAAGCACTTATTGTTTTGTTTTATCAATGCTGATGTGTTTTAACAAGACTGACATGTAACTTACATTCTTATTAGGTACATTCTAAAAAGGTAGTTTGTGATAAACTAAATAAAAATCTTGGATTTTTTGTATTTGTTATGCAATATTCTGTGCACCAAATAAACACAACAATTGGGAAATGAAAATGGAAAAGAGCAAATTAAATAGCAAAAAAGACACTTTTTTGTGTTGATTTTTCAGAGATTGGAGAAAATTAAATTTCAACTCTTACTTCAGCTTTGAAAAAATCCACAGATGTTTCTGTGCATCTGTCCACTGTGAGAAGACAAGTCAATGATATGGGTCTGCAAGGATGTGTTACTGTCAGGAAGCTGCTAATCAGAAAAGGATGCAAACAAAAACAAGAAGAAAATTTGCAGATCAAAAATGCTGCTGGTGTTCTTAGAACAATGGACTGGCCACTCCAGAGCCCAGATCTCAATGTCATTAAATGTGTTTGGGATTACTTGAATTGTGAGAAGCAGAAAATGCAACAAACTTCTAAGACTGAACTTTAGAGCTGTGGAAATATATCCCTGCAGATCTCTTTGAAAAACTGAAAGTGAGTCTCCCAGAAAGAATGAAAGCTGTAAAAAAAGGCAAAGTGTGGACACACACTACTGAAAAAATATATTTTGATGTTGAGGCTTCTGTGTAACTTTCTGCACAGTACTACAGTTTTCTTGCACGATGCTGTATGTCTGTAGTAGAGATGGACCAAACAGATATCGATCACCGATCACCTTTCAGCACGACTGGCCGATTTCCGATACCCATCGAGGGCGGGGTTGGACTGATAAGGCCTACTTACCACAAGTATGACTTTTTCAGAAAAAAAAATGGATATAATTTTAACGTAGTGGGACCTTCACACCAAATCCAAAGCATCTAAAGAGTCTGAAAACTTTTTACTTTTAAGCACGGCAACTAAACGGGTACATGCACTCTACATACACATTTTACAAAAAAGACAACAACAACCGCACATTTGTTTGGGCTGCAACCATGACAACGAAGCCTAATTTTAACACATCCGTACAGCGCAGAAAATGGAGTATGCGCCCGTTAAAAATGTATGCAGCGTCGCAGTCCGGCAATTTTAGACTTGGTGTTAAACACAGCATTAATATACGCATGTTTATTTTCAAAGCTTGACGTGCACTTTTTCGTCCGTAAAAATTGGCATGTCTGGGCTAAAAATCGGCCGATACCGATACATAGCCAATCAGTCATTCCAAGTCAAGTCTATAGCAAAAAACTAGGTCTGGCGAAAACAGACGTATCCAAAGGCATCTTGGCTGGCACTGCAGTTGCACAGTATATCATTTGTTAAGGATTTTGGTGATATTGGCCTTTGCAGCGCTGATATTGCAGAGGGTATTTTGATTAAACAAATAATTTGTAACGAATGTAACAAATTATTTTGGACAAATCAATGCATGTCAGTCTTTAACCATATATAACATATGGTATAGCATGGCACTATAATTGCAGTGTTAGTATTTTGTCCGTACAGTCCTAGCTGGCACTGTGATTGACTTACAGAACCAAAGTGTCACACCCAATTATTTGCATTCTGTCCCAGTGGTGTACTGCATCATATTCCAAAAAAAAAAATCTCGCCAAGAAGACTAGGTGTATTTTGTTTCAAATTTTTGGATGCTGCGCAGTGCAATCGGCACGTCCAGTGGCTGTGGCCTTAAGAGAAAAATGTCTGTATGAAATAATGCCCTAAAACACAAATGCAAATAGGGATTTAGTCACAGCCTTTCTTTATCTTTTCTTTTACCTGAAACAAAATGAAATTGTGAAGCTGATAAAGTAACATTCAAAAAGCTTGTTCTTGCAATTACATATTTAGCACTGTCCTTCTCCAGGGAGACTTACAATGATGGGGTTAGCCACCAAGCCATCCAACTGGTTTTCCGCTTTTTCTGATGCTGAAAAATGAACAACTTGTACTTAATGGCTATTTTGACTAGAAATTAAATAAATGAAGTGTGGTCTCTAACTTTTGCACAGTTGTGTATGTCTGTAGAAGAGTAAGATACAGCCGAGTATGTCTGACAAACACTGTCTTATCAACTGCTTGGCTAGAGCTGCACAATATATCATTCCTTAATAATTAAGGTAATATTGGCCTTTGCAGTACTGTAAAAGGTAAATAAGCCCTGTAACCAATACATTTAGATGACGTAGTGATCTATGAAGTTCACCAGAAATTACTGGTACAATGTGGAAGACTGTAGAGCCCTTAAAAAATCACTCTGGAATTCTATTGAATGATTCCAACTCATAAAAATGAGCAACGTACAAATCAGTGCCCTAAAATGTAGATAGGGTTCCGTGTCAATCACAGCCATTGTTT